ATATTATTCATTCACTTCTGCATTCACCCCGGAAACTATACATTGTGGACTTTGGAAAGAGCGGAGAAATGTACCTTGTATTTCAAATGACATTGATTCCACAATGGGGATTATTTGTGTTTTTTTTTGTATTATATGGTCCTAGATTAAAAGTAAGAAATAGCACATAGTTGCCTCCCTTTGAACATGTGTAACCAACTGTCAGGATTTGTATACAGTCCATGAAGGCAGCAGACAAAGGGACATTGACCAACTGCATTCCCTAACTCGTCTAATTAGTGTGTGAGTTCATTTTCACATTAAAAACATGTTGAGTAAAAATCGTATGATTTTTGAGTTTTGTATTGGACACAACAAACAAATAGCAATCACGTATGCATTCTATTTCTAGGATTATTATCCCCTGTCTAAAAAATAAAACACAGAAAAGTTATGTTATTAATGACTTTTTGTGTATCCCTTTTCCCCCAAATGCTCATCATTCACTTTGGGTCACATTATTTAGGAAAGGGCGCCCCCGAAATACAGCTTGTGGCCAGAAATATATTACATCCGTAGTGATAGAACTACCATAGAGAATGAATGGTAAAAGTTAAGGGAGTTAAGCCTTACTATTGCCGTGCAAGATCCGTAGGTTTCAGTTTGACTCCGGCTCAGGGCTTTGACAATCTGCTTTCGTTTGAATTGAAAGATTTGGATCATGAGACTCGATTTTAGAGCCCAAGATATAATGGCTTGTATTTACACCGCATGTAAATTGAACATGTGAATGTTAGAATTGTGCTAAAATAACTATTGGTTGTTTTGTTATCAGTTTAATCCCCATTGCAGGTCCTGAAGCATTGCATGCCTCTTACACCATTTAAATGTCATTTTTATCGCTGAAATGTGTTTTTCTAAGTTGGGGCTTGTGAGTTTCATTGTCTGAAGTGGAGGAAAACTCTCGTCGCGACCGGGAATCGAACCCTACTCACCCGTTTGACAGGCGGCAAAATCCCTTTCATCTGTTTCCGTAGTGTAGTGGTTATCACGTTCGCCTCACACGCGAAAGGTCCCCGGTTCGAGACCGGGCGGAAACACATTATGTCTTTTTTTTTTCTCAATTTATAGAAAATTAAAAAGACTGATCAGGCAGCACAGATTGAAGAATAACAATATGCAGAGCAGGGCTATTCAATTAGTTTGGAATGGGGGCCGGTTGATGAAAATGATCCAAAGCAAGGGGCCGGGAAAAAGATGGCTTGAAATATGAGCAATCATATTAAGAGCTTTGGATACAGTAAATACTACAAGGGCATAGTGGAGTGCATATATTGTGTTTAATTAAATCAAACAACATAGCCCCAAGGCCTTTATAGATCTAAATGGCATCTTTCAGATCAGATAGATCTTTCATTTTTGTAAAGCACTTTGAATTGAAAACTGTCCGACACCTCAGGAGGGGGAAGCAGGGAATCATCCAAGCTGTGTACAGTAAGGATGGGACGTTGTTGACCTCAACTGATGGAGTGTTAGGGCGTTGGAAGGAACACTTTGAGGAACTCCTGAACCCGACAACTCCGCCCTCTATGTTAGAGGCAGAGCTGGAGTATGACGGGGGATCAACACCAATCTCCCGGGGGGAGGTCACTGAGCTCGTCAAACAACTCCACAGTGGCAAAGCCCCGGGGGTGGATGAGATCCGCCCGGAAATGCTGAAGGCTCTGGGTGTTGAGGGACTGCCATGGTTGACACGTCTCATCAACGTTGCGTGGAAGTCGGAAACAGTACAGAAGGAGTGGCAGACCGCGGTGGTGGTTCCCCTTTTTAAAAAGGGGGATCAGAGGGTGTGTGCCAATTACAGAGGCATCACACTACTCAGCCTCCCCGGGAAAGTTTACTCTAAGGTACTCGAAAGGAGGGTCAGGCCGATTGTCGAACCTCAGATTGAGGAGGAACAATGCGGATTCCGTCCTGGTCGTGGAACGACGGATCAGCTTTTTACTCTCGCAAGGATCCTGGAGGGGGCTTGGGAGTACGCTTATCCGGTCTACATGTGTTTTGTAGACTTGGAGAAGGCGTATGACCGAGTTCCCAGGGAGTTACTGTGGGAGGTGCTGCGGGAGTATGGGGTGAGGGGGTCTCTACTCAGGGCCATCCAATCTCTGTACTCCCAAAGCCAGAGCTGTGTCCGGGTCCTCGGCAGTAAGTCGGACCCATTTCCGGTGAGGGTTGGCCTCCGCCAGGGCTGCGCTTTGTCACCAATCCTGTTTGTAATATACATGGATCGGATTTCGAGGCGTAGTCATGGGGGAGGGGGTCTGCAGTTCGGTGGACTAAGGATTGCACCACTGCTTTTTGCAGATGATGTGGTTCTAATGGCTTCATCGGTCTGCGACCTTCAGCACTCACTGGATCGGTTCGCAACCGAGTGTGAAGCGGCTGGGATGAGGATCAGCACCTCCAAATCTGAGGCCATGGTTCTCAGCAGGAAACCGATGGACTGTCCACTTCAAGTAGGGAATGAGTCCTTACCCCAAGTGAAGGAGTTCAAGTATCTCGGGGTCTTGTTCTCGAGTGAGGGAACAATGGAGCGTGAGATGGGCCGGAGAATCGGAGCAGCGGGAGCGGTACTGCAGTCGCTTTACCGCACCGTTGTGACGAAAAGGGAGCTGAGCCAGAAGGCAAAGCTCTCTGTCTACCGGGCCATTTTCGTTCCTACCCTCACCTATGGTCATGAAGGATGGGTCATGACCGAAAGAACGAGATTGCGGATACAAGCGGCCGAGATGGGTTTTCTCCGCAGGGTGGCTGGGATAAGGTGAGAAGTTCGGTCATCAGGGAGGGACTCGGAGTTGAGCCGCTCCTCCTTCGCGTCGAAAGGAGCCAGTTGAGGTGGTTCGGGCACCTAGTTAGGATGCCACCTGGGCGCCTCCCTAGGGAGGTGTTCCAGGCACGTCCAGCTGGGAAGAGACCAAGGGGTAGACCTAGGACCAGGTGGAGGGATTATATCTCTTCGCTGGCCTGGGAGCGCCTCGGGATCCCCCAGTCAGAGCTGGTTGATGAGGGGGAAATAAAGTTTGGGGCTCTCTGCTGGAACTGCTACCCCCGAGACCCGACCACGGATAAGCGGGAGAAGATGGATGGATGGATGGACTTTGAATTGCCTTGTGTTGAAAGGTGCTGTTAGAGAATAATTCTGTCTTTACTTCTAGATATTTAACTTTATTTTGTGTGTTGACATGTACGACCATCCCTGCTTCTAATCTCCCGTAAGGAATGTGTTGATGCAGTCGTATGTTGATACTAGGTTTTACAGCTTGACCTACAGGGCATAGGGAGTGTTTTGTGAGTGTGAAAACGCTAGTTTATAAGCTCCAGAGATGGGAGAGACATCTCCTCTGCAAATGTGTTTACGCCATGGTTTACGCCCATCCCCAATATGTGGATTTGACTCTCTGTAAACTATTTAAAGGGTCTACCAAGATGCGAGGCTGATCAGAATTGACATGACAACCCACCCGTGCAGTCAGAACCTTTTGCTGCTGTGACTTGTGATATGAATTCTCCGGCCGTTGACTTGTAATAAACTACCAGTGTTTGACATCAAAGCTCCAACTCTCCTCGTGTCTCTCTGAGTCCTGACTCTCCATTGCTGCAGAAGTTTCCCTTACAGGTGCTATATAAATAAACTTGCCTTGCCTTATGCAATTTAGTAATTCAACATTTATTTCTAGCTGTTTGCGCTAATGTGAAATTAATAATTGTTTTATTGTAATTACTTTTGGTGTAATTATTTAAGTAAGCAAAGCAATTTGTAAAGGCCGCCTGAAATGTACACTAGCTAAGAAATAATAATTAATGTTATATTGAATATATTACATGTGCTTATATAAATATGGATGTTTCCTCCTGGTTTCGAAACCTAGGACATGTAAACCTAGGACAGTAAGGCTCATCTCCCTCAACTTTTATTAAGTCATTCTCTATGGGAGTCCTTATCACTACGGATGTGATATATCTTTGACCATAAGAGGGATCTGGGGGGCGCTGTTCACTGAAGACTCTGGGTTGTAATCAGGTTGGATGTGGCTATATAAATCATAACCACTAGGGGTGCTCTCACCGAGTTTCCGTAGTGTAGTGGTTATCACGTTCGCCTAACACGCGAAGGTGAGCCGTGTATAGAGAGGCGAAGTCCCGCCCATTTACTTCCTACCCATGGGACCTTATTTCGGGAAACATTATGTATTGAAGTCTGAACATTTCAACTGTAAAGATGTGTATACCGTCCATGAAGGCAGCAGACAAACTGCTACACTTTCTAACTTGTCTAATTAGAGCCAGGTGTTAATTTTCACATGAAAAGCATGTTGAGTAAAAATGGTTGAGTCGATTTTAGAGCCCCGGTTACCATGGCTTGTGAAATGAACAGTGTGCATGTAAGTTTAGTGTGTATGTTATAATTGTTGATATAACTTTTGTTAAGCATCAGTTTCATCTTCAATGCAGGGCCTGAAACATTGGAAGTGTCTTACACCCTTCAAAAGTAATTTTCAGAGGGTGGTTTCAAAGGGTGTTGTGGGGTTCACTATATATTACAAACAGGTGGTTGAATATCCGCCCTGACGGGGAATCGAACCCGGGTCCCCTGTTTGACAGGCGGCAAAGGCCCTTTCATCTGTTTCCGTAGTGTAGTGGTTATCACGTTCGCCTAACACGCGAAAGGTCCCCGGTTCGAGACCGGGCGGAAACACATTATGTCTTGTTTGCTTCCACACATATATCAAATAAATGAAATAGATAGAAAGACGTCTTTCATTGAAAAATGCCAAAATGTCGAGAAAAGCGAAATTATCTTGTAATAATTGACAACAATATAATTTGGTGTTCATGTCAATTATGAGACAGATCGCTATGTGTCCCTTGATTGTCTGTTTAACGGATATTACTGATGCGTCCTCAAACTCAGCATTAAGGGGGCGTCAACATGCACGTGAGTTGCTGTTGCTTTTTGGCGGCTGTGTGTTGCTTATGAAGCACCTCGTGGGGAGTTTTGGTCAGAGACACTTCATGGCCGCATCACTTCTCCATCTTTCAAACCACCGGGTTGACCGGCGTGTGCTCCGGTCCTCGGTAGGTATGCTGCTGTCCGCCTGTTGTGCTAAAACCTAGCCTTAGCTTTCCTTTGAGGGGGAGGCTAACATTAGCATTGTGCCGCATCGTTTTCTCTATATAAACCAAACACAAAAAGTAAGGAAATGTGTGTTTGTTGGATTATGTCTTTGCTGAAACAATACTTTTTGGCAATACATGTCATACCGTAGGAAAGCCTGTGTATATATATATATTTTTAAATGGTGCCACATTTGTGAGGAACATACATTTGTGTGATCGGCCACATCTTTTTTTTTTTGGCTGTTGACGGCAGTTAATGATTTAAAGTTACAGATGCATTTATAAATAAATAACATAGTTGTTCAGAGTACAAAGTGACCAAAATGTATTAATTGATATTAAATATAATTGGTTTGGTCGAGGTAAAACATGTTATGATGTCATTTAACCATATTGCAGTGAAGATATTGGTGTCTGTAAATGCTACTAGTATACAAACTGTAGTATCATATAATGTCCTTTGTTTTCTGTCATGTTTGTATTAATGTTTGGAACTAATTGAAGCAGGTCACCATTGTAAAAGAGGTCTATGATCTCAATGGGTTTTATCTGTATAAATAAAGGTTTTGAATTGAATTTGAATTGAAGTGAAGATCAGAATCATTATCAGGTTTCATGCAGTTTTTTTTCATAAACGAAGATTTTGCTGTGGTGTATTTGTGCTTAACAATAAACATAGTGAGAACAATAGCAAGTACAGCAAGTGTCAATTCACATTTGATATAGATTACTAAATGTACAATCAGGTTTATTTAGAACCAAATTGCAATGAGTTTCTAGTGATTGTAAACACTAGAATGAATCTTCAGAAATTAGCCCGTGGATCGCACAGCTCCAGTATTGAAAGGTTTGAGGATGTTAAACTTTACTAACTCAAACATGTTCTGTGTTTGCCCACAGGCGGAGAAAAGGTCACAGTGATGCAGTACAGCAGACAATGTCTGCACTCAGCATCTCTGAAGAACAAAAGAAGTATCTGGATTGTAACTTCAAAGGCTGGGAGTTGAATCCACCTCTAGGTTTTTGGTAACAAAAGAGCACGTCACCTAGCTCAGGATCCTCCAGTTCTCCTTCATGATGGCATAGGAAGACACGGTGCCGGACGACAGCACAACCTTCCTAGCCCCTCTGCGAGTGTGATCTGACCTCAGGGCCTGTCCAAAGGCCCCCTGAAGCAGCAGAGTGAGGAGCTCCTCCACCTGGACCAGGTAGAGGGAAGAGACACAAACTCCACAGCAGCCATCACCGTCCGAGTATCCACCACATGCAGCCGGAGTATCTTCCTGTCTGAGGAACCCAGTGATGGTCCTTTGGCCGTAGACTCCTGCCTCAGCATCCCTGACATTCTGCACACACAGCAGGTAGGCCAGGTGAGCTCTCTCATATTTGAGATTGAGCGCCTCCGTCAGCTGCTGGACGTGTCCTCTGGGGATCTGCCGCTGCGCCTCATCTCATCCAGGACACATTTGCAGACGGCCTTTTTGTGCGTCAGGAAGGCCGGCACGATGTTGCTGAAGCCCCGGGGTAGCTTCTCCAGCCACTGGGGCTTGTCAGCATGCCAGTACTTTTTGCAGACCTTGCAGGTGAGTCGAGAAGCTAAAATATAGTACTGGCCGCTTGTCCCAAGGATGACTCTTGGCCTTCCAGTGCCAGAAGAAACAACCTGAGGGTTCGGAGAGCCATAGAGACAGGGCAAGACACCATTGTTTCTCACCTTCTCCGTGATCGCATGCTCTGGCTTCCAAATGAAATATGGATGAAGCTGATAGTACTTGGGTGAAGGCAGGTCAGAGATTGAGTCTATGAGCTCAGGCTGAGGCGGATAACGCCACAGGGACAACATGTTCATAAGGTGTCGCACGGGACTTGAACCTGGCCACAGACCCAATGTTTCCAACTCAGTCTTCATCCAAATGTTCTGCTGGTGCGAGCAGTTCCAGTGGGCAACATCCTGACTATAGCCCGGGACAGAGGCTGCAGGCTGGTGTGCTGCGACCAGAGGGACAGGAGGCGCTGGACAAGGCAGATCTGTGAATCACCGTAGTACATACACAACAAGAGAACATGTAATAAAGCCTTAAATATGTGACTGCCATGATTAAAGCGTGTCACAGATATCAATACCTTCATCGAGGACAGCGTCTTGCGTGGCCTTTGATGGTTGAAGGTCCCACCTCTCTCCTCCTCTTCCACCTTTTCCATCAGGTTACTGGTGTAGCCGACATCATTCACATGGAATGAAACTGTAATAAATATTCCCCCATCACCTCGAGTCGGGCGGACCCTTGCCCTCCCCTCTGAAGGACCTCAGTGAGAGCATTTGTCCTCACATGCTTCTGAGGGGCAGACTTGTCCTGAAGGGAAGGATTTTTTTTGATTCTCATTCCCTCCTCTGAAGGGTCCTGTCGCAGGTGGCCAGATGGACCCTTCCTGAGAGACATCCTTATCTTCCCTGGGAAAAGTTGGTCTCCTTCCTCCTGCACACAGAAAAACACTGATTGTAATGTTTTGGTCACAACTTTTATATTACATGACCCGACGGAGAGGAAGGTGGACAGGCAGGCAGATGTATTACTTCACTGTACATGTGGTTGATTACAACAATAGTGAATCCTTTCAGTCACAAAGCACATTGACTACTGTTGGAGCTCTACATCAGTTTAAGTCATTTGGTCAGCTTTCTGTCCCCAGAACTAAACATGGAGACGTTCAGTTATGATGCTCCAAACATCTGGAACAAACTCCCAGAAACCTGCCGGTCCGCTGCAACTCTGACGACTTTTAAATCTAGGCTGAAGACTTTTCTTTTTGCCGCTGCTTTTAATTGAACTATTCATATCTGAAACTGCACTGTAACTTTTATTCAGGTATTTTTTCTTTTAATGTTAATTTTATTATCTTTGCTTTTTAATGACTGATTTTAAATGCCATTTTCTTAATGTCTTTCATTTTTGTAAAGCACTTGAAAGGTGCTATATAAATAAACGTATGTAATTTAGCTGTTTGTGTTAATGTGAAATTAATAATTGTTTTATTGTAATGACTTTTGTTGTAATTATTTAAGTTAAGCAAAGCCATTTTTAAAGGTAGTTTTGGGCACCAGCTGATCAGGTTTTTATTGGAGGTGGTGGTGTGATTGCTGCACCAGAATGAAATGCCACAGGTGAAACCAATGTTCTTTATATGTTGGATTATTGGAATACAACAAAAATAAATGGAAAAAACCACGTCTTGCCTTGACAATGTTTTCCAGCGTAAGATGTGCTCACTGGGGCCTTGCAGCTGTTTTTAAGCACTATATAGCAGATGGGTAACATAATTTACCCATCAAATAATCACAAATGCATAAAAGAAAATAGCTAAAATGGATGGACAGATATAACAATAATAATTCTCTATTAGTTTTGTACCTGGAGTTTATTTAAAAAGAGACTGAATACTGTAGTATTTACCCATTTAAAATGCACAGTAGTAAATTATTCTGTTGCAAAAAAATCACGATGAAAATGTATGTCCTAAACAGTAGTTCAAATGTGATCTTTAAACGCACAGATTTTTGGATTTCGGATCAGTATTGACAAGATACACTTTAAAACACAATTGACAACTCTTTGTTAAGCAAACATTGCAGATATTGTAAAGACGTTAGCTAACAGTAAGTTACATTACCTTAGCTAACAATACACAGAGTGTAAGACGTCAAAACTACTAACAAAAAAAGTGTACTAATATGAGATTTGTTTAGTCACAGAAAAAATAAGCTCCACTTACGTTTGATACATTTTACGGGATGTAGGTTGCGTGATATTACTCGAATTTTGTCGGCAATGTGATCTCTTGTCCTTTTGCTGTTGGTGCTGCTCCTCCGTCGCGGTTGTCCCTGGAAACGGGGTCTACACAGCGCCTGCTTTTGGCAAAAAATATATTACATCCGTAGTTAATTTAGCATTTTATTTATGTTTATATGTCAGCCCCACAGTTAAACTTGTAGTATTCATTTTCTCGGTTATTGTGTTGCTTTTACTCGAGTGATATCTAAACAAGAAGAAGAACTACCTGTATCTATGGCAACGATTACAATCTATTAGCAGTAGTGTGTGGTTGCCTTTTAGCTTGTTCGTAGTGGCTGTTACTTACAAATCAACCCTAATGTATCTGTCATTTCTGTCGCTTTTAGTTTCAAACGCTGTACACAGTTACTGTATATATATTCCAAGTTATTACAAACACGAAAAAAGTAGCCTACCTGTTGGCTAACTGTAGCTAACGCCAAGTGCTAGTTTAGCTAACACTAAACCAAAAGCGTTTTCCGAATGTTTACAACTAGCGATATTGAATACTATCTTGATGGCAGATAGTTGGAACACAGATATACAGGAGAAGCTGTGTATAGGTCCCGGGATGCTGTTAAGAACTTGAAAATAAGGCGAGTAGCTCAAAAGCACTGCTTGTTTTGAGTGCCATTGTATCTTTCAAAGAAGTGGTGATAAACTCGTCCCGACGGGGAATCGAACCCGACTATTGTGATTGACAGGTGGCAAAAGCCCTTTCATCAGTTTCCGTAGTGTGGTTATAACGTTCTCCTAACACGCGAAAGGTCCCCGGTTCGAGACCGGGCGGAAACAAATCTTTGTCTTGCTTGTCTCCAAATACACAAAATAAAGTCGATAAAAAAGGCAGCATAGATTGAAAAATAGAAATATGTAGAGAAAAGAGATATTATTCATTCACTTCTGCATTCACCCCGGAAACTATACATTGTGGACTTTGGAAAGAGCGGAGAAATGTACCTTGTATTTCAAATGACATTGATTCCACAATGGGGATTATTTGTGTTTTTTTTTGTATTATATGGTCCTAGATTAAAAGTAAGAAATAGCACATAGTTGCCTCCCTTTGAACATGTGTAACCAACTGTCAGGATTTGTATACAGTCCATGAAGGCAGCAGACAAAGGGACATTGACCAACTGCATCGGCTCCGCATCTTAGAAAGAAACTCAGCTACAGTAAAGCCCATGTTAGCCGGTGCGGACCGGCAAAAGGTAGCTCCTATTAGCCGTCCCCCGGCAACTCCCGAGCAGCAGGGAGACTGGGTGACTGTTCAGAAGGGGCATAACGCGAAACCCGCAGGTCCCCACCAACCCGTTCACGTATCTAACAGATATTCCCCACTCAGCGAGACACCCGCTGAGAAGCCAACTCTGGTTATTGGTAGCTCTATTATGAGACACGTGAAATTAGAGACCGAAGCCTCCACAGTCACATGCATTCCGGGGGCCAGAGCGGGCGACGTTGAGGCGCATCTTAAACTGCTGGCTAAAAATAAACGTAAATACAGTAGGATTGTTATTCACGTCGGTGGTAATGATGTTCGTATACGCCGATCAGAATGCACCAAACTTAATGTGGAGTCGGTGTGTAGTTATGCTAAGACAATGTCGGACACCGTAATCTTCTCTGGTCCCCTCCCCAATCTGATCAATGATGACATGTATAGCCGCATGTCATCATTTCAGCGCTGGTTGTCTTGGTGGTGCCCAGCAAACAATGTGGGCTTCGTAAATAATTGGACAGCCTTCTGGGGGAAAACCTGGTCTGATTAAGAGAGACGGCATTCATCCTACTTTGGAAGGTGCCGATCTCATTTCGGCAAACATTTCAGGGCTTTGTGGGCTTAATCCATGACAAACTGGAGTTGAGACCAGGAGGCGGAGTCGCAGTCTTATACGCTTCTCTGCGCTCTCTCCTAGGCAGTCATCCATAGGAATCCCGAACCCAATAAAATACCCAATATTAGCGGTGTGTGTGTCTGCCCAAGGACAAGTTAAGGTAAAACCTAATAGAGGTGTCATACATAATAACCTAATCAAAGTAAATGTAACAACTACTACAGTGCAACAAAACAGGAATATTAAATGTGGTCTCTTAAACATAAGATCTCTAGCATCTAAAGCAATATTGGTAAATGATTTAATATCAGATTATAATATTGATATATGCTGTCTCACTGAAACTTGGTTGAGACATGAAGAATATGTCAGCATAAATGAGGCCACTCCACCCAGCCATATCAATACTCATATTGCCCGAGGCACGGGCCGAGGAGGTGGAGTTGCAGCCATCTTTGACTCAAGTTTACTTATCAATACTAAACCAAAATTAAATGATACCTCCTTTGAAAGTCTTGTTTTTAGTCTTACGCATCCGACCTGGAAAACTTTGCAGCCAATCTTATTTGTTACAGTGTACCGTGCATCAGGTCCTTATTCAGAATTCTTATCTGAATTCTCTGAGTTTTTATCAACTTTGGTTCTTAAAACAGATAAAGTAATTATCGTAGGTGACTTTAATATTCATGTTGACGATGATAAAAATAGCCTTACTGTTGCATTTAACTCTATATTAGATTCTGTTGGTTTTTGTCAGAGTGTAAATAAACCAACCCACTGCTATAATCACACTCTCGACCTTGTTCTGACTTATGGTATTGAAATTGAGCAACTATTAGTCGAACCGCATAATCCTGCTTTATCCGACCATTTCTTAGTAACTTTTGAAGTACTGTTACTAGACTACAAAGCATTAGTCAAAAGCTCCTGCAGCAGAAACCTATCTGTTAGTGCTATAGCCAAATTTAAGGAAGAGATTCCACCAATACTTAACTCGATAGCATGTCTGCATGTAAGGGAGGAAACTTATACAAAATGTACACCACCCCAAATTGATCATGTTGTTGATAGTGCTACAGATGTGCTGCGAATAAAATTAGACTCTGTTGCTCCTTTGAAAAAGAAGAAAATAAAACAACATAGACTAGCTCCATGGCATAATGCCGAAACCCGCAAAATAAAGCAAAAGTCGAGACAACTTGAAAGGATATGGCGTTCTACTAAACTTGAAGAATCTCGTTTAATTTGGCATATTACTCTCAATGAATATAAGAAAGCATTGCGTAAAGCGAGAGCAGCTTACTACTCTTCATTAATAGATGAGAATAAGAATAATGCAAGATTCTTTTCAGCACTGTAGCCAGGCTGACAGAAAGCCACAGCTCGATTGAGCCTTCTATTCCCATAGCACTCAGTAGTAATGATTTTATGTGCTTTTTTTAACGATAAAATTGTTACTCTTAGAAACAAAATTAATGACCTCTTGCCTTTGACCAGTATAGTGTTATCAACAGCTCCCGGAAACGTAAGTTCTAATATTACACTAGATAGTAAACTAGAATGCTTTTCAGCCATAAACCTTGAACAATTAAATTCAATGATTCTCTCTTCTAAACCATCAACGTGCATGTTAGACCCAATTCCAACTAAGCTGTTGAAGGAAGTTTTTCCATTAATTAGCACTTATTTATTAAATATTATGAATATGTCTTTATTATCAGGCTATGTTCCACAATCATTCAAAGTAGCAGTGATAAAACCGCTTCTTAAAAAGCACAACCTCGATCCAGAGGTTTTAGCCAACTATAGACCTATTTCTAATCTTCCGTTCCTCTCAAAATTCTTGAGAAAGCGGTCGCAAAACAGTTGTGTGATTACTTAAAAAACAATGATTTATTTGAAGCTTTTCAGTCTGGCTTTAGAACACATCATAGCACAGAGACAGCTCTGGTTAAAGTCACAAATGACATTCTAATAGCCTCTGACAAGGGACGTGTCTCTATTCTTGTTTTGCTCGATCTCAGTGCTGCATTTGATACTATCGACCATGATATCTTATTGCAAAGACTAGAGCACTTAGTTGGCATACAGGGAACTGCTTTAGACTGGTTTAGGTCCTATCTATCTCAACGCTCTCAGTTTGTACGTGTCAATGATGAATCTTCCACGCAAACCAAAGTTAGCCATGGAGTGCCACAGGGCTCAGTGCTCGGACCTATTTTGTTCACATTATATATGCTTCCGTTAGGCAATATTATAAGGAATCATTCTGTAAACTTTCATTGTTATGCGGATGATACTCAACTATATTTATCAATCAAGCCTGATGAAATTAATCATCTAAATAAAATTCAAGACTGCCTTAAGGACTTAAAAACGTGGATGACCTTAAACTTTTTGATGTTAAACACGACCAAAACTGAAGTTATTGTACTTGGCCCGAAGAATCTACGAAACAAATTATCTAAGGATATACTAACTATGGATGGCATTAATTTGGCCTCCAGTGAGACTGTAAGGAATCTTGGTGTTATATTTGATCAGGATTTATCCTTTAACGCCCACATAAAATCAATTTCAAGGACCGCCTACTTCCATCTACGTAACATTGCAAAAATCAGGCATATCTTGGCTCAAAACGATGCAGAGAAACTAGTCCATGCATTTGTTACTTCAAGGCTGGATTATTGTAACTCTTTATTATTAGGGTGTACCAAGAAGTCAGTCAAGTCGCTTCAGCTGATTCAAAATGCTGCGGCTCGTGTACTAACCAGAGTTAGGAAAAGGGACCACATTACTCCTGTTCTGGCTGCCTTACACTGGCTCCCTATAGAACACAGGATAGAATTTAAAATTCTTCTTCTCGCCTACAAAGCCCTTAATGGGCAGGCGCCATCTTACCTTAAAGAACTCATTATACCCTACTGTCCTACTAGGGCATTGCGTTCCAAGAATGCAGGGTTGTTGGTTGTTCCTAGAGTCTCTAAAAGTACAATGGGAGCCAGAGCCTTTTCTTATCAAGCTCCACATTTGTGGAATCAGCTTCCAGTTTGTGTTCGGGCGGCAGACACCCTATCCGTTTTTAAGAGTGCGCTTAAGACCTTCCTTTTTGATAAAGCTTATAGTTAGGGCTGATTAGATCCAGCCCTAGTTTTGCTGATATAGGCTTAGTTTGTCGGGGGGACATCTTACTTCTTCCTTCTCTCTGTCTATACCTGTGTACTCTCATGTTCCGATTAACCCAGCTTCCCCAAATGTCTTTCTTTTTGGTGTCTATATACGCCGGGATCCGGAGTCATGGATGATCCTGCGCTCCTCTGTCCTGGATCGCGAGCCCTGGATCTTGAGTCGTGGCTGTGGTCCTGGATCATAGGTCCTGGATGGATATCCTCGTGGATTCATCTTCCTATTATACACACATGCATTTCCAAACATTTGGACTACCTATGTTGCAAATGTATTATCTTTTCAATTTACACAAGGCATCTATTGCACGTCTGTCCGTCCTGGGAGAGGGATCCCTCCTCTGTTGCTCTCCCTGAGGTTTCTCCCATTTTTCCCTTTAAACTGTGGGTTTTCTCCGGAAGTTTTTCCTTGTACGATGTGAGGGTCTAAGGACAGAGGGTGTCGTATTGTCATACTGATATTTTGTACAAACTGTAAAGTCCACTGAGACAAATGTAACATTTGTGATATTGGGCTATATAAATAAACATTGATTGATTGATTGATTCCCTAACTCGTCTAATTAGTGTGTGAGTTCATTTTCACATTAAAAACATGTTGAGTAAAAATCGTATGATTTTTGAGTTTTGTATTGGACACAACAAACAAATAGCAATCACGTATGCATTCTATTTCTAGGATTATTATCCCCTGTCTAAAAAATAAAACACAGAAAAGTTATGTTATTAATGACTTTTTGTGTATCCCTTTTCCCACAAATGCTCATCATTCACTTTGGGTCACATTATTTAGGAAAGGGCGCCCCCGAAATACAGCTTGTGGCCAGAAATATATTACATCCGTAGTGATAAGAACTACCATAGAGAATGAATGGTAAAAGTTAAGGGAGTTAAGCCTTACTATTGCCGTGCAAGATCCGTAGGTTTCAGTTTGACTCCGGCTCAGGGCTTTGACAATCTGCTTTCGTTTGAATTGAAAGATTTGGATCATGAGACTCGATTTTAGAGCCCAAGTTATAATGGCTTGTATTTACACAGCATGTAAATTGAACATGTGAATGTTAGAATTGTGCTAAAATAACTATTGGTTGTTTTGTTATCAGTTTAATCCCCATTGCAGGTCCTGAAGCATTGCATGCCTCTTACACCATTTAAATGTCATTTTTATCGCTGAAATGTGTTTTTCTAAGTTGGGGCTTGTGAGTTTCATTGTCTGAAGTGGAGGAAAACTCTCGTCGCGACCGGGAATCGAACCCTACTCACCCGTTTGACAGGCGGCAAAATCCCTTTCATCTGTTTCCGTAGTGTAGTGGTTATCACGTTCGCCTCACACGCGAAGGTAAGCCGTGTATACCCATAGAAGACTTTCTATTGGCCAGAAGCCTCTTCAAAAGAACGACGGTTCTAATCCCACCTGACCCAAACAAAATTTCACATTCAGTTTCAAAATGTTGCTCATTATACACAAACACTACATTTACATTTTCAAACGTTTAAAGTTAAAGTTGAAACAGATATTTGGAGTTAGAAATGAATTATTCTTTGCTTGCTGCTTCTTATAATAGTTATTTTAATCTTAATATATAGCAATAATAACACAAATAATGATATCTTAATATTAGTAATAATAATGTTTTATATAATATCTTTGTATTTTTACTTATAATTAATATTTTAAATATGTTGATTGTACAGATGTTTACATTGAGCATATGAGTGTGTTTAATTTTCTATCACTATTACTTCCTCTATCAAGTAAAGACAGCCACAGTGATGCATTCAAGATCATTTATTCAAAAACAGAAATATTAAAAATAGAACAACAAATATATAAAAAACACTGAAAACACAATACAGAGAGAACAATCAGATTTTGAGGGCATTAACCAAAACTGTTTTGTTATTGGCAGGATTGGCAGGACTGGTGAAAAGGCTGATAGTTTAGGGGTCTCGTTTGTGTTGCAGGCAAAACGTCTTAGTTTGTATGTTAGTATGCAACTTAGTAGACCCAGGAAGTGGCGTGTGCATGTGTGTATGTGAGGGTAGGTTAGGGCTTCCTTTTGTCTGCAATCCATCTGTCCCTTTCAGCATCATAGAAGTCCGACTGCTGGAAGTCCGGCCACGTCATCTCCTTCTCCATGCCCTGTGCATTATATAAGGAGAAGACTCTGGAGGGGCAGTAGATGTAGTTCCCTGAAACCCCTGGGAAGTATGCATGGATATGAGGGCTGTTGGGACCCTGCTTCAGGGGTTGGTGACAAATCCTGCAGAGACGGCCTGTTGGCAGCTGCACAGCTGCCTTCCTCTTCCCTCTCTCCTCTGCAACCTTTCTCCACTCTGCCCCCCTCTGTCTGGCAGCCTCCAGCTCTCGCTCAAAAAACGCAGTTGCAGCAAAGTTCTCAAAAGACATCCTGGTGTCTTTGAGGCCTTCTTTAGCATAGGTCTGAAAGACCTTGGTGGAGCAGTAAAAGTATTTTACCGTTTTTGACTGGTAAAAAAAATGAACTGAAGAGCCATCCCCAAGATATCTGGATTTAGGCTGACCGCAGGCTAAACAGTTTCTCATCAGCGTCTTTTTCTGAGGCTGTTGTTGCTGCTGCTGCTGCTGATGCTGCTGCTGTTGTTTTGCCAGGACGTCTGACACAATCTTCTCCACTGAAGCCCTGCTCAGTGAGTCCTCCTGTCTGGGAGCCACAGCTGGAGGGTTGCATATGGCAGGTGGCAGAGTTATGACAGGCACACTGATAGTTTGGCTACCTGAGGTCAAACTATGCCACAGCTGCTGTGTCTCTAAGATCTTTTCTGGGGATGTGTTGAGGGAAGAGCTGGTGTTTTTTAATTTTGCCAGATGTTTCACATATCGTGAGATATGTTGGACTGTGGTCGGGTGAAGGAGGCTGTTCCGGTCTGTGCATCCCCTCTGGACCATGGCAGCGTAGTCCGCATCCACCCGCTTCAGGACATCTTTGGCACCACGGTGGTTTACCAGAAGCTCGTCGATGGCAGCTTTCATGGGTTCTGTCCACCGACCATGGTCCAAGACTTGAATGAGGCCACCAGTTTTAATTGGTCCAGTGCGGGTGGCTCGAGGAGAGGAGGACTGAGGCAGCGGTGCTACCCCTGTCAAGTCTAAAAAATAAATATATGTTAATTATATTGTTTGATGCCAGTGTGTTGCAAATCAATTAGCTCTTTTAGTCATTTCACTTCACAGCTAATTTAACTTTTGTGGGACAAATACATGATTATCTTATATTCCTACCTCTTGTTCTATTATGCTTTTCAATGGCTTTTACAGTTTGCATACACTTGCTTAATGATTGTTGTTAATAAACAATATTTCAACATGATGATATTACATATATTATGTGCACGCCTGTTTTTAACAGTGAGGTAGTGTAGGTAGGGAATTTGAATGACCTGTATCTATCAAAGGCTCTGGTTTTTGTGTGGCAGAGGCTTGTGTCAAAGGCAGCAGGGACTTGGTCACAACATCAGAGGACTGCCGGGAACTGGAAGACAGAATTGGCACTGCCCCAACTGGAGCAGCACAGGATTCCTGAAATAGCACAAATATAGTGAATTAGTTAGTCAGCCAGTCTGTCAGTACTTGACAGTAAGTAGATATAAATATGAACTGGATTACCTGAGAGTCTGTGCCCACTACAACAGTAGGGGCAGGGCAATGATGCTCTGTCTCCATGGCTACTGCCGCTGGGTTGTTTGGCTGTGCCCTGTTCTTGTCCCAGTTCAAAACAACAGGACGACAGCCTGGCTCCACGTACTGCAGTCCAAATCTCTCCCCCGTGTCCCTGTTGGAGAGCTGCAGTGCTGGGTATTTGGACCTTCCTGTCACTTTTACAGAGATGGTGTTAAGCTCTGAAATCAACCGGGGGTCAAACACGGCTGGCAGCTCCACATCTGGTTGTTTCAGGTCCACCAGCCTCTGGTAGTTCCAACGCACAACTCCAGTCATAGCTTGGGCCTGGAATAGTTCACAGGACACCCGGTTGCCTGTCACCCATTGGGCTTGGTGTCCGTGGAAACCCTCCTGCTGAGAGGTGCCTCTCACAGGGATCCACACAGGCACGGCAGCTCCCTCACCCTTGTTGTAATTCAGCTGCAGGGTGCCACCATACCTGTAGAGGATTCCCTCTCCCACTTCAGGGTCGCTCAGGCAGCCTCGGAGGATGTGGATGCGCTGGATCCTCCACACCTTTAACATTGAGTCTTTGAAAAGGAGCAAATCATTGGCATCCTTTGCCATGTAATAGTGATGGAGGACGTCTTCCACTCTTTGCAGCAGTTCCATTGGCTGTGGCACCTTTGTCCTGCAGTGCTCTCTTATGTGCTGCTTTGTGGGGTTAGCAGGAGAAATTCTGCAGAACGTGTACGCCTCCTTCAGCTTCTGGAGATCGCTGTGGTCCACCACAACGAACGCTGCTGAGAGGAACTGGCAGAAGGAGCTGTACAACGAATGATGCTCGGAGACACACTCCCTGGTAAACCGCCGCATACAATGAAACAAGTCCAACTTGACAATAATGTCTTTGTTAAACTTGTTCCTTGATGCGCAAATGTTCTTGAGATTTCCAGAGGTGGCCTCTGCCAGGATAGCATCTGTGGTCCTCCAGCTGTCCCACAAGTGCTCCTGAGCCCCAGGTTGAAGGACCTTGAAGGCAGCGCAGCAGTCCCTAAAGCATTACAAATAAATGTCATTACAGCTGAAAACCTTGTACAATATCTTCGTACAAAATTAGTGTAATAATTAACTGTAATTATTCATGTGTATTATATTTATGAAGAGTCAGATTACAGAATTAAATGCAGAATTAAAAAAAAGAACAAAAAAAAAAAGAATCAACTGTTTTCAATTTAAACTTGTTGTTTATACCTGTCCACCCACTGGTAGCGTGCCTTCTCCACTCCAGCCACAGTGTAGCGTTGAGACAGACCCTCATACAACGGGTTAAGGGACCTATCACACTCTGACTGCAGCATCACCCAGCTCAGGATCATCCAGTTCTCATTCATGATGGCATAGGAAGACATGGTGCCAGACGACAGCACAACCTTCCTAGCCACTCTGCGAGTGTGATCAGACCTCAGGGCCTGTCCAAAGGTCCCCTGAAGCAGCAGAGTAAGGAGCTCCTCCTGCCGCTGATACTCACGGACCAGGCACTCCACCAGGTAGTGGGAAGAGACAGAAACTCCACACCAGCCATCACCGTCCGAGTATCCACCAAATGGAGCCGGAGTATCTTCCTGTCTGAGGAACCCAGTGATGGTCCTTTGGCCGTAGACTCCTGCCTCAGCATCCCTGACATTCTGCACACACAGCAGGTAGGCCAGGTGAGCTCTCTCATATTTGAGATTGAGCGCCTCCGTCAGCTGCTTGGACATGTCCTCTGGGGATCTGCCGCTGCGCCTCATCTCATCCAGTACAGATTTGCAGACGGCCTTTTTGTGCGTCAGGAAGGCCGGCACGATGTTGCTGATGCGCTGGGGTAGCTTCTCCAGCCACTGGGGCTTGTCAGCATGCCAGTACTTTTTGCAGACCTTGCAGGTGAGTCGCGAAGCTAAAATATAGTACTGGCCGCTTGTCCCAAGGATGACTCTTGGCCTTCCAATGCCAGAAGAAACGACCTGAGGGTTCGGACAACCATAGAGACAGGGCAAGACAAAGTTGTTTCTCACCCTCTCCATGATCGCGTGCTCTGGCTTCCAAATAAAATATGGATGAAGCTGATAGTACTTGGGTGAAGGCAGGTCAGAGATTGAGTCTATGAGCTCAGGCTGAGGCGGATAACGCCACAGGGACAACATGTTCATTAGGTGTCTCACTGGACGTGAACCTGGCCACAGACCCAATGTGTCCAACTCAATCTTCATCCAAATCTGCTGCTGGTGCGAGCAGTTCCAGTGGGCAACATCCTCACTATAGCCCGGAACAGAGGCTGCAGGCTGGTGTGGTGCTGCTAAGGGGACAGGAGGCACTGGGCAAGTCAGAGCTGTAAAACACAGTAAAACACACAGTTACATCAGATCAAATTGAATAAAGCTCTATATAAATGACTGCTATAATACAGTGTCACCGATATTCATACCTTCATCGAGGACAGTGTCTCCCTGCGCTTCCACAGGGGCTATATTATGTGGGGATGAATCTGGGAGGATGAGATACAAACAGGCAAGTGACGTATACACATTATCGAAATTAAGAAGCAGCATTTAAGAAGTTGTGAAAAATGAAAACAGAGACGATGATATCATTACTTAACTTTACCTAAAACGTGAGCACTATACTGTATGACACCGTGACAATGTGATTTGTCAGAATGAAATGTAAGTTTCTGCGAGATACACTGGTAGTATAAGAAGAACACATACTTTGTCTCAACACATTTGGCGCCTGCTCTTCTATCCCGAGCTTTGGGGCAATTGCGAGCAGCTGAGGAGGGACCGGCAGCGGTGCCTTCACTGTGGCTGAAGGATGAAAGGCGGAAACAAACATGAGGGTATATATACATAATATGTATGAAAAAGATTCAAGATGGATCCAAGTGAGGAGTATAAAAACCCAATAACCTTTCAGAGGAGCAGGTCCATCGGGTCTGGACACAGTGGCAGTGGCAGTTGGATAAGTCCTGTGGGCTGTAGAAACAATCCTGTGTCACTTTCCTCAAGTGTTAAGTTGTTTCAAGCTTCACAATCTGTCTTTACCTGTCGTCTCTTTAGCAGAATGAAAATACCCTGTTGTATTAACTTGTGAATCCCAATGATTTGAAATAGAAAAACATAATGTCTATATGTGTTTGGAAACAGGTAAAGCAGAGAAACAGTATACATATATAGCAAGCACATCTTTCATTCAAAGGTGTGGCATGATATCTTAGAGGGTAAGAAGCTAGGTGTTCTAAGCCACTGCAATATTTAAAATGCCAAATCCTTGTATGACAGTCTAAAAAAAAGCATGCAAAAACGGAAAAACACTTACCATCATTGCTGACATGTTAATTCCTTCAGTTAGTTGGAGAACAGAATAACACAAGCATCAGAACAGACCAGAACTCGGCCAAAATAACAAACTAGTTGAGAATAATAATGTCAGGGAAAATCTGTTGGAAACAGTTAACCCTCCACACTGCTAGATAAAAACCTGTTGGTGTGGACACAGCCGGGGCTCTGGAGACTGCTGCTGGTGGCCCTATAAAGCACAGGGGACAATGAACAAAGTTTTAACATGTACAGTAAGTTTATATAATCACTGTGTATCTAACTGGATCCACCTACTTCGTTCAGTGTAGAGTTTTGAAGGAGACAGATTCAACATCGCCCTCTCCAGCTCCTCGTCCTCCTCCATCACTAGGAGATTAAACAATAACATGTATTATGTCAATGTCATGTTCACCTTAAAGCAGTATTTGCATATTACTGTGAGCTGACCTGGAGTGCTGGATGTCAGAGTGGAGGTAGCTGATGCAATGCAGCCTTCAGCCGGTGGTGGACAGGACTCAGCCCTCTGCTGCTTGAGGATATACTGCTGAAGGTTGTACATCTTGCTGTTAGTGATGCACTTCACTCCTAAAACAAAGGCAGCATAACCATCAGACCTGCTATCCCAGATCTGCTTCCAGGTGTCTTTGGCTCTGGCTCCAAAGCCGACAGTATGTTCCCCCTCTGACGCCACTGGTGGGGCAGGCTTCCTGGAGCACAGGTACTTCCTCAGATCCTCAATTTCCTGGAAGCTCCTGGCGTAGTCCAGAAACGACAGCAGGCTGTCCTTGCTAGGCCCTTGGGGGTTGAAGGTCCCACCTCTCTCCTCCTCGTCCACCTTGTCCATCAAGTAGAGGGTGTAGCCGACGTCATTCTCTAGGAGCCACCTGTACAGTTTCCCCTTATATTTTCCGAACTGTAGCACGTACTCCCCCATCACCTCGAGTCGGTCGGATACATCCCCTCCCCTCTGAAGGACCTCAGTGAGAGCATTTGTCCTCACATGCTCATGCTTCTGAGCGGCAGACTTGTCCTGAAGGGAAGGATTTTTTTTAATTATCATACCCTCCTCTGAAGGGTCCTGTCTCAGGTGGCCAGATGGACCCTTCCTGAAAGACACTCTCATCTTTCCTGGGAAGAATATGGTTTTCTTCATTATCTCCTGCACACAGCAAAACACAATGCAAAATATATATTAAGAAGTGCACAAATCATCATATGTTATATTAGCAGAGTTATTCATTTCATTCATTCACGTTAACCAGGATTTGTATAGGTAACACATGTTATATTACATGATCAGACAGGCAGACAAACAAACAAACAGAGGGGCAGGTGGGCAGGAAGATTGATTATGTATTGCCCTGTCAATGTGAGTGAACTCACTTTATTTCATGTTTACATTAATTGGGATTTGTAATGACTAGGTAACAACTTTTCTATTACATGAATAGACAGACTGAAAAGCAGATGGGTAACATCTTTAGCCATAAAATAATAACAAAAGTATAATAGAAGATAGCAAAACAAAAGTTTTAAGACTGAATACTGTAGTATTTACCCGATTAAAATGTACTGTAGTAAGTAGAGCTGCAGCAATGAAAAGAGTCAAATTATGCAGTATTTTGGATCAGTGTTAACAAGATACACCTGTAAAACACATTTGACAGCTATTTTGCCATGTGTAATGAGTAATAAATCAGCTGCTGTTAACGCTGACATTTACTGTAAATACATGACGATAGCGTTAGCTAACAAAAGTTACAGTACTTCAGCGCCAACAACACACAGAGTTAAACACAAACTAACAACTAACAACTATTGCAAAAACAGTGTAACAATATCATAAGTGTTAATTCAGTCGTAGAAAAATAAGCCCCACTGACGTTTGATAAGTTTAACGTGATGTTAGAACTAGAAGTCGAATTGTGTCGCTAATGTCGTCTCTCTATCTGTAAGATGCTGCTGCTGTTGCTCCGTCTCTCTCACTCTGTCACTGGAAACGGGGTCACCTTACTTCTACCAAAAGAATGCAACAGCGCCCCCAATTTATCACTTGTGGCCAGAAATATATTGCAGTCACAGTGTAAGAACTACCATAGAGAATGAATGGTAAAAGTTAAGAGAGTTAGTCCTTACTATACCCGGTCCCCGCGCGAAAGGTCCCCGGTTCGAGACCGGGCGGAAACACATTATGTCTTGTTTGCTTCCACACATATATCAAATAAATGAAATAGATAGAAAGACGTCTTTCTTTGAAAAATGCCAAAATGTCGAGAAAAGCGAAATTATCTTGTAATAATTGACAAAAATATAATTTGGTGTTCATGTCAATTATGAGACAGATCGCTATGTGTCCCTTGATTGTCTGTTTAACGGATATTACTGATGCGTCCTCAAACTCAGCATTAAGGGGGCGTCAACATGCACGTGAGTTGCTGTTGCTTTTTGGCGGCTGTGTGTTGCTTATGAAGCACCTCGTGGGGAGTTTTGGTCAGAGACACTTCATGGCCGCATCACTTCTCCATCTTTCAAACCACCGGGTTGACCGGCGTGTGCTCCGGTCCTCCGTAGGTATGCTGCTGTCCGCCTGTTGTGCTAAAACCTAGCCTTAGCTTTCCTTTGAGGGGGAGGCTAACATTAGCATTGTGCCGCATCGTTTTCTCTATATAAACCAAAAACAAAAAGTAAGGAAATGTGTGTTTGTTGGATTATGTCTTTGCTGAAACAATACTTTTTGGCAATACATGTCATACCGTAGGAAAGCCTGTGTATATATATCTTTTTAAATGGTGCCACATTTGTGAGGAACATACATTTGTGTGATCGGCCAAATCTTTTTTTTTTTGGCTGTTGACGGCAGTTAATGATTTAAAGTTACAGATGCATTTATAAATAAATAACATAGTTGTTCAGAGTACAAAGTGACCAAAATGTATTAATTGATATTAAATATAATTGGTTTGGTCGAGGTAAAACATGTTATGATGTCATTTAACCATATTGCAGTGAAGATATTGGTGTCTGTAAATGCTACTAGTATACAAACTGTAGTATCATATAATGTCCTTTGTTTTCTGTCATGTTTGTATTAATGTTTGGAACTAATTGAAGCAGGTCACCATTGTAAAAGAGGTCTATGATCTCAATGGGTTTTATCTGTATAAATAAAGGTTTTGAATTGAATTTGAATTGAAGTGAAGATCAGAATCATTATCAGGTTTCATGCAGTTTTTTTTCATAAACGAAGATTTTGCTGTGGTGTATTTGTGCTTAACAATAAACATAGTGAGAACAATAGCAAGTACAGCAAGTGTCAATTCACATTTGATATAGATTACTAAATGTACAATCAGGTTTATTTAGAACCAAATTGCAATGAGTTTCTAGTGATTGTAAAACACTAGAATGAATCTTCAGAAATTAGCCCGTGGATCGCACAGCTCCAGTATTGAAAGGTTTGAGGATGTTAAACTTTACTAACTCAAACATGTTCTGTGTTTGCCCACAGGCGGAGAAAAGGTCACAGTGATGCAGTACAGCAGACAATGTCTGCACTCAGCATCTCTGAAGAACAAAAGAAGTATCTGGATTGTAACTTCAAAGGCTGGGAGTTGAATCCACCTCTAGGTTTTTGGTAACAAAAGAGCACGTCACCTAGCTCAGGATCCTCCAGTTCTCCTTCATGATGGCTTAGGAAGACATGGTGCCGGACGACAGCACAACCTTCCTAGCCCCTCTGCGAGTGTGATCTGACCTCAGGGCCTGTCCAAAGGCCCCCTGAAGCAGCAGAGTGAGGAGCTCCTCCACCTGGACCAGGTAGAGGGAAGAGACACAAACTCCACAGCAGCCATCACCGTCCGAGTATCCACCACATGCAGCCGGAGTATCTTCCTGTCTGAGGAACCCAGTGATGGTCCTTTGGCCGTAGACTCCTGCCTCAGCATCCCTGACATTCTGCACACACAGCAGGTAGGCCAGGTGAGCTCTCTCATATTTGAGATTGAGCGCCTCCGTCAGCTGCTGGACGTGTCCTCTGGGGATCTGCCGCTGCGCCTCATCTCATCCAGGACACATTTGCAGACGGCCTTTTTGTGCGTCAGGAAGGCCGGCACGATGTTGCTGAAGCCCCGGGGTAGCTTCTCCAGCCACTGGGGCTTGTCAGCATGCCAGTACTTTTTGCAGACCTTGCAGGTGAGTCGAGAAGCTAAAATATAGTACTGGCCGCTTTTCCCAAGGATGACTCTTGGCCTTCCAGTGCCAGAAGAAACAACCTGAAGGTTCGGAGAGCCATAGAGACAGGGCAAGACACCATTGTTTCTCACCTTCTCCGTGATCGCATGCTCTGGCTTCCAAATGAAATATGGATGAAGCTGATAGTACTTGGGTGAAGGCAGGTCAGAGATTGAGTCTATGAGCTCAGGCTGAGGCGGATAACGCCACAGGGACAACATGTTCATAAGGTGTCGCACGGGACTTGAACCTGGCCACAGACCCAATGTTTCCAACTCAGTCTTCATCCAAATGTTCTGCTGGTGCGAGCAGTTCCAGTGGGTAACATCCTGACTATAGCCCGGGACAGAGGCTGCAGGCTGGTGTGCTGCGACCAGAGGGACAGGAGGCGCTGGACAAGGCAGATCTGTGAAACACCGTAGTACATACACAACAAGAGAACATGTAATAAAGCCTTAAATATGTGACTGCCATGATTAAAGCGTGTCACAGACATCAATACCTTCATCGAGGACAGCGTCTTGCGTGGCCTTTGATGGTTGAAGGTCCCACCTCTCTCCTCCTCTTCCACCTTTTCCATCAGGTTACTGGTGTAGCCGACATCATTCACATGGAATGAAACTGTAATAAATATTCCCCCATCACCTCGAGTCGGGCGGACCCTTGCCCTCCCCCCTGAAGGACCTCAGTGAGAGCATTTGTCCTCACATGCTTCTGAGGGGCAGACTTGTCCTGAAGGGAAGGATTTTTTTTGATTCTCATTCCCTCCTCTGAAGGGTCCTGTCGCAGGTGGCCAGATGGACCCTTCCTGAGAGACATCCTTATCTTCCCTGGG